CAGGTGGGGACAGGGCTGGGCTAAGGTGAGTTCACGGGGTGCAGGTGGGGACAGGGCTGGGCTAAGGTGAGTTCACGGGGTGCAGGTGGGGACAGTGCTGAGCTGATGTGAGTTCACGGGGTGCAGGTGGGGACAGTGCTGAGCTGATGTGAGTTCACGGGGTGCAGGTGAGGACAGGGCTGAGCTAAGGTGAGTTCACAGGGTGCAGGTGGGGACAGGGCTGAGCTGATGTGAATTCACAGGGTGCAGGTGGGGACAGGGCTGGGCTAAGGTGAGTTCACGGGTTGCAGGTGAGGACAGTGCTGAGCTAATGTGATTTCAAGCAGGTGCAGGTGCAGGCGGGGTGCGGACAGGTCCCTGTCTGGGCCGTATTGGTTTTCATCTGTCCTCCAGCTCACAGGCCCGTGTGGCTCCCAGGCTGGAGTCGGGTTGCTGTGGCAGAATCTGTCGCGCTGTCTGAGACTGGCTGGGACGCCCGGTGCATGATGCCAAGGGGCAGGAGAAGCCAGGCCCGGCTGCTGCTGTCCTTGCTGAAGCCAGTGTGTGCTGGCCACAGCCCGCGTCCTCCGTCCTGCCTCTGGCTCCTGGTGTGCTGGAAACTACACTCCGTCAGGTGACCCTGTCTGTAACGTAGGCAGACTTCAAATGTCTTTAAATTAAGGGCACTTTGCCAGGTTTTAAAAAGTCACCGTTTTCATTCTGTGTTCAACAGTTTATCAAGTAATCAAGTAAACAAACACGCGTCCCCTACTAAAATAAACCATTGACAGAAAACTCCATGTTCTACAGAGAATTGCTTTGAAGACGTTAGCAGCTGACTCGTGGAGCACCCTGTGTGCGTTTGGTCTGCGCGCTCTGCTCCTGAAGGCGCTGGGACGTGTTTGACTGTGTGTGCCTGGGAGCTCCACGGGACTCACTCAGGAGGGGCCCTGCCCCGAGGCTGGTGGGCAGGACTGGTTAGTGAGTGCCAGCTTGACCGAAGGAGGCGGAGTACCGTTCCTGGTGTGTCCATGGGGTGCTGCTGGGAGAGTCACGTTCGGGTCAGCGGACTGGAAGGGGCAAACCCACCCTCAGTCCAGGTGGGCGCCATCAGCAGCCGCCAGGTGGCCGAGGACCGAGACGGGCCGGGCTGCTGAGCCCCCCGTGTCTCCCACGCTGGACGCTTCCTGACCTCGAATGTCGGACTCCAGGCTCTTCAGCCTTTGGACGCTCGGACTCACACCAGAGTCCGGGGCTCTGGGGCCTTGGGCCACAGACTGAAGGCTGCGCAGTCCGCCTCCCTGCGTCTGAGATCTTGGGACTCGGACCGGCTCTCTTGCCCCTCCGCTTGCGGTGGCCACTGTGGGACTTCCCCGCATGACTGTGTGAGTCAGTTCTCCCAAAAAGCTCGCTCCGTAGATGCGTCTGTCCTGAGTCCTGTCCCTCTAGGCGGCCCTGAGCTCGGCAGTGGGGGGCGCAGACGCCGGGAAGCCAGCTCTGCCGTCCACCCTCCTCCCTTCCCGTCCACTGCGTTCGTCCTCTCCTTTCCATTCCTAAGGCAGAAATGACGGGCTTGTGTTTTAGACCAAGGCCCGGGGCGGTTTCAGCGGGTCAAGGGCAGGACTGTGTAATTTCATTGGTGCCTGATCCCAAAAAGGCTGAGTGGGACCCACTGCAAAGCAGAGGACACCCTTGATTTCTGAGGCAGGAGGCCCCTCTCGGAACAGGAAGCTGCAAATCGGTGAAGCTCTGCCTGTGTAGACGCCTCTCCCTGACTTCCCCCTCCCTGTGGAGACGCCTCTCCCCCACTTCCCC